CCCGGGTAGGATTGAACTCATGCTGACATGGCTTGCTTTAACCCTCTGTGCCACCAGGGAGCGCCAATATTGCATTTATGAATAAACTTCTAAAGTTCCTTCACCCAAAGGACAGATTGTAGTTCTTTGTCTTCAGTAGTCATTTCTACAGATATAGCAGTACTTGGGATTAAAGTGAGGAGGTCAGTTGCATTTTCCTTATCTTTACAATTACTCTTTGTTCATGATCCCACGTATAGAAACTTTTTGTCTCCTCTTCCTATCCCAAATCAGTGTGATGGCTTTGCCCTTTGGTCCAGCTAAAAGCTAAGTTCTCTGAGGCTGTGATGTATCTGAATCACCTCACAGAGCACATACATTGTACCATTGATTCCAGTGTGAAGTCTCTAGAGTTTGTATTTTTAACTTTTGATTGGTTTGAACTAATTAATTTCTCTGGGATAAGGCTCCCTGAAGATTTCTGTGGTGTTTTGACAGAAAAATGCAGTGTAGCTCACTGGATTTTGACATGATACTGGCAGTGATGTATGTGACTGCAGTGGGAAAATTATTTGGTGCAGTAGATAAAACCAGTTTGGAGTCAATGAGGGGAAGAAGTAAAAGATCCTTAGTTGAAAGTGGGAAAGCTACTATGTTAGGTTATTAATAAATGTTTCTATAGAAAGGGTGCCCTTATTTTGACAGGCTATAAAAGTTGCAATAAAAATAAATTATATGTCCATTATTGTTCAAAGCACTGTGTAGGTGAAATTTCATTGCATCCTTGTAACATACCCATGCAGCTGGCACTGTTTTTAACCCTGTTATACCTAAGACATTTTGAGATGCAGAGAGAGACTCTCCAAGGTCTGAGCCTACTAATCAGATTTGGGATTCAGACCCAGGTTATGTGACACCTATTACTGACTCAAGTGGCTATTGGCCTTAGACAGGTATAAGGATTAATTACCCTGTTCCTAAGAAAACCAAGAGATGAATGACATCAGTTCTGACCTTTAACATCAGCTTCTAAACTACGATATTGAAGATGTTGAAGAATCAGGAACTTCTGAACTGCAAGCACCTAGGGGAGTTGGTTTAGTCCATACTCTGCAGTTCACAGTTTCACAGACCCGGGAGGTCTGTGGCTTGCTCAAAGTCACACATCTAGAAATTGTCAGTCTTGGGACCAGCATCCGGACCTGCTAACTCCAGTCCTGTCATCGTCCCAGTCAGTCATGAGGCTTTGACTTAGAACTTTTTTTTTTTTTCTTAAAGATTTATTTATTTGTGTATACAGAACTGGGGTACAGGCCAGAAGCTCAGGGCCGGTAAGAGGCTTCATCAGAGACAGAGCGGGGAGCAGAACAGGCAGATCGGCAAAGTACACCGCTGAGGGGAGCAGCGGGCAGGCGGGAATCAAACCCATACAGAAGTGGCTTCAGATTCTCAGTGCTGTGCTTTAACCCGCTGAGCCACCAGGGAGGGCCTGACTTAGAACTTTTACCTCCCGTGTTATAGCATTAAATGAATGCATAAATCTGATGCCAGAAATGCTGAAATTCATTCTACTCCTGCCTTTAGGTTTGTTATTTCATTACTGTGCACCTTTTAATAGTACTTTCAGTGTATATACTGAAAACCATGAGGAAAAAATCATAATAGTATCTTTTTACTTTTTTATTGCTTCCTGATATTATTTTTACAAATAGGAGCACATGGCCAGTGAGGCCTTAGCTTCCCGGCCTCTCTCAGCATGCCACAGGTGTGCTGCAACTTCTGGAGTGGGGAAAGGCTGGTGTTGCTTCCCAAGGGCTTGCTTAGGCATGGGAAGCAATGATGACATTAATTCCACGACTCTTTTGGAATGCCCTCGGTCCTTTGTGTTGGTTGTTAAGCGCAAAAGGTGCTTAATAAGTTAAAAATTGAAGAGCTACAAAACACTGGTATTTTTTATATTACACAGCCTTTTTATTTTTTAAGATTAAAACTCTGGGTTTCTTATTGGCTTCAGATAATGGACTCATTTGAATTTAAATGCTTGGAAGGAGAGGGGGCTACTATTGCAGATTCTTTTCAGCATGGAAATACTGGATAAGTACAGCTTCCTAGTAAACTTTCGGTGTTAGGTAATCAGCTTGGAAATACCTCCCATACAGTAATTCCTCAGAAAACTGCCACCTTGTGAAAAGGAAACTTTTATTAAAAGTGAATAGTTTAACTTCAGCATCATATATAAGAGTTAAAATTTGAAACCAAATACAAAAACACTGTTTTCATAAAAGTGAGATTTGTATGTAGTCCATACAAGTTTAAGAAAATCTGTTTAAAATGAAATTTAGGAGTGAAGATTCATCCATCTGAAAGGTAAATTCTCAGCACCACCTAGTGGTAACTTTTAGTTAAATCAGAATGTTGCTTGTAATTGTCGTGTGTAATAGAGAAGTGAATGTTTAATTGGAAAGTCACTAAATTTCTTTCCTGCCACAGGGAAAACTAACACTTTTGTTTGATATGACTACTTTAGTTCAGATTTCCAACAAACCCTGTGCTTTGTGGCAGCCTAAAACCCTTTAGTTTAGAGGCGGCATGTTAGAGAAAACAATTTTTTAATAGTGTGTATTTCATAAATAGTCATTAAGTGTATGAATGACTAAGCAAAGGAGATAAGTGAAAATAGTTGCATCAAGGTCATTGATAGATCGCAACTCTCCTGCACTCTTTCCCAAGCTGATATGAAATTACTAACCTGGTAATTTTAAAATACCTTTCCAATAAAAAAATTCCATCCTGGCCCTCCCTGGTGGCACAGCAGGTTAAAGCACAGCACTAAGAAACTAAAGCTACTGCAGCATCAGTTCGATCCCCGCCTGCCCAGGAGGTGACCACATGGCGCGGCAGACTTCTCCTGGCCCGCCCACTGCTCCCCTCAGCAGTGTACTTCAATGATCTACCTGTTCTGCTCCCCACTCTGTCTCTGGTGAAGCCTCTCACCACCCCTGCACCTCTGGCCTGTACCCCAGTTCTGTATGCATAAATAAATAAATCTTTAAAAATTCCATCCACTGACCAAAAATTAAAACATCTCAGGATAGAAAGCAAACTGATGGAATTAGATTGACTGAAAAACAAGATGGGAGAAACCTGCAGGTCAGAAATCCCTGGGGGATGGCGAGGTGGGTGCAACAGAGCTCAGCTGGTGTGGGGCTTACACAGGCAAAAACAGGACAGCTTCTGGGCCCACATCATTTGGGCTGGACAAGATGAGCCTTGATGCCTCCCCAAAGCACCCCAAGTGAAGATGATGGGAGATAGCATGTCATATCTGAGACAGCTAATGATCCCCCCCAAAACACAGGGATCCTCACTCTTCGAAGATGGGACATTGGGCACTCCTGGCTTCAGTCCCACCCTCTCCCAAAGGCTGGCTCCTGTCAGGGGACCTGCATTCAACAACACACAAACAGCAAGTCTCAGACCCTGAGATGAGAGCCCCAAACAAGAGAACACCACATTTGAGGAAAACACACTGTGAAAGAGACATTGACCTAGACAAACAGAACTGGCACCCAAGAACAAAGTGGACATATTAAAGTATGTGCAACTGGTGATCTGTTCGATTTATTTAACAAATATCTATGGAACACTTAAGCTTATACATAAAACCAAAGATGAAACTGTTATTTTAACAAAGTGTATACACAAAAATGCATGTCTGTGTAAATAGGTTCACTGCAGCATTATTTGCTATAACGAAGAACTAAAGCCCATCTAAAAGCTCAGCATTTGGTTCAGTAATTATAGTACCATCACATTAGAGAACACAGTGTGAGCTTATGCAATAGATAATTACAGAAACAGCGTTAAGGGGATTGAAATGAAAGTTTTAGTGTTTAAAACTGTTCATTTTCTATGTAATTTTAAAGCCATGATCATGAATTTTTAATTTTTATCATGTATTTTCTAAGTGATTTTTTTAATAGAAGTGGTCAAAGAAAGTTGATCTCATTGCATGCTGCTTACATTGATTAATCATACATTTGAGTTTATGTTCATACCGCTAAAACTTGATATGAACACCTTCAATGAAATTTTTAAGTGTTTTTATAAGTTACTCAGATAACTGTACCAACATCTGAAGTGATCATTTTGAAAACTTCAGACCATTGAAATTATTATTTTCCTGTATATGTTATTGTGTAACCTCAACTTTACAAAGTTTCATAAATTATAGACCTATCAAAATTGATAAAGTGGATACAGATCTTTTAGTTCATCTATGAGATTAATCTTGGGAGCTGGGGGAGTTGTAAGTATGGAATAGAAATTATAGCGTAGTGGTTAAGTGAAAAGGGTGACATCACTACATATTTTCATTTTCTTTGGTAGACTAAGTTGGTAGAATTTAAGTCCCAGCCTTCAGATTCTTCTGTCAGGTTATGGGTAGCTAGTGGGTGCCATCATTTACTTCCTGTGGGATTTTAAATATATACAGAGAGAGATCTACTCCCACTCTCCATCAGGTAATATACCCTGTGGCCAATAACCTCATCCACTGATATATTGATTGTCTTGCCACTCTGTTGGTTCAAAACATGTAAAGCAAATGTTTCTCAAGCAGCCTAAGGTACTTGAAGGAATATTGAAAAGCAAAATATAAGTTGAGCTGTATTTTCAACAAAATAAGTGCCATGTAAGGAATATCCAGAGAAATATTTATTATACTTGTTAACTGCTGTTTTGCAATCATCTCTCATTCTCCCTACAAGTAGCTAGCAGTTGACCAGCTAGAAATGCTGTCTATCACAGGAGAGTGGTCTGTGGACTTAGACTGAGATCTCTGCGCTGGTCCCACCAGAGACTATTACCTGGGACACAGGCTCCTTGTTTGTAAAATGAATGGATTAGAGGATATAATCTCGTAGGTCTTTATCAATTGCAAAAGCCCTTAAGATTTATGAAATGTCTTATTCTTAACAGTTTTTATAATAAAGTTGTTGATAACTTTATGTTTCTTTCAGTTTATATCTTTTCAAGCTTGGAATTGCACCCCAGATCCAGGATTTGTTGGGCAAAGTAGATTTCACAGGTACTACTCTTTATAATTTTTAAAATGTAGCTACTAAGAAAATGTACCAATACTTTTTCAAAAAAAGTGTTGCTATTGATGCCTTTTTTTCTTCTATATTGATCAGAAGAGAAAGCTCCCTGTCTCTGTATTTGACCAGGTCTCCTACATGTTTATAAAATGGGAAACTGAGGCCAGTTTCTTCTAATTTCTAATTTCAAAATTAGCTCCTTGATGAGGACATTTCTCGCTATGAATATGCTAGCTTTGCCTTTGTCTCTGTGCCTTGCTTTAATTTTTGTTGTTCTTTTTCAGAGGAGGAAATCAGTAACATGAGAAAGGAACTGGAGAAATATGGAATACAGATGCCATCTTTCAGCAAAATCGGTGGTATTCTGGCTAATGAATTGTCCGTGGATGAAGCTGCCTGTAAGCCTGTTTAAAATCTGAACTTGGCACTGACATGAGACATACTAATACCTTATTTACTGATTTTAGTTATGAGAAAGGAATGTTTAGAATTCACTTTTGAACGCTGTAAGTTTTTATGATATGTGTTAGAGATGGTTAATTTGAGCTTCGGAACCTATCCAAGTAATTGGGTTTAGACTTTAGACATCCACTTGTGCAATGTGAATTCAGAGGTACCACAAATATTCTCCTTCTCCAAAATACTTCTCTATTTCTTAATGTCCTTCAATTTTAAGGTGTAAGGCTGAGTCTCTCCTTTAAATTACAACTGTATCTTGGGAAAAACACTGTGTTTTCAAAGTATCCATTCCACCCTTTGAATCCCCAGAGGTTGACACTATGCTTGGTGTATTTTTACCATTCACTGTAAGCTGAATATGTGAGTAGGGGGTTTACCAGGTGCTGAGACGGAACCTAGACCAGGTGGGTGGTTGTCAGGATGCTCTGTGCTGTATCTGAGGTCTCTTCGGCATGCTTGCTAGCAGCCGAACAAGAAACTAAAACTGCAGTGTTGATGCAACTGTCCATGCTGTCCATGTTGGCTTTTGCTGATAAAATGATTCCTTTTTCTCTTTTCAGTGCATGCTGCAGTTATAGCCATTAATGAAGCTGTTGAAAAGGGAATCGCAGAGCAGACCATTATAACACTAAGAAACCCAAATGCTGTTTTAAAATCTGTAGATGACCATCTTGCACAGGAGTATCAGAAAGAGCTCTGGGAAGCCAAAAAGAGAAAAGAGGAACATGCAAAACTGAAGGTACTTTATTAGATTCTGATTAATGAAAACAATAATAGAGATGGTGATGAAGCTCATGTTGTAAATATTGCTAGTATGGAAATAGCTGCAAAGGATCATCTCTAATTAGGCATCACCAGCAGTTTTTTATTCAGATTTCTTATAAGAAGTCGGTAATTCAGTGTGTTGAAGTTCAGAGGGGATGTTTGGATCCACCCTCGTATTTTCCAAACAGGTTCCCCTCTTCGGCAAGGCAGTGTGCTCCTGACACTGACCTCACACTTCCTGCCTTCCTGTCTGCTTAGTTACTGAAAACTCTGTCTACACTCAGACCTTTTGCTACTTAAGCTCTTGCCATTACTGGTTTCAACTCCATTTCCAAAAGTGGCCACTTTGTCTTACCTGTGGCTACCCCCCACATCCAGCACACCCTCCTAGGGCCTCTGCTCCCCTGGCTTGTGCACCCCTTTTCCAGCTGTGGGTCTCCTCTGCCTCTCTTAACATCTCTCCTTTGTCTTCCCTCTAAATTTGGGACACAGCAAGATCTGATGTTGACTCTCTCCTATCTGTTCTTCCTCATTTGAATTCATCTACTTGTTGAAGAAATCAGTGGTCAGCTCGACACCCTCATGCCTCCCCTACCCTCTAATGAGTATCCTCTATGGCCCAGGGCCTCACTCTTCTCCTTGTCAGAAAGTTACCACCTCCACCTGCCTTTCTCACCTGTGTGCCCCTTGCTGAGTTCCCTTAGAATAATTCGGCCCTCCCTGGTGGTGCAGCAGGTTAAAGCACAGCACTGAGAAGCTAAAGCCACTTCAGCATGAGTTCGATTCCCGCCTGCCCCAGAGGAGACCACATGGCATGGCAGACCTCTCCTGACCCGCCCGCTGCTCCCCTCAGCAGTGTACTTCATCTATCTGCCTATTCTGCTCCCTACTCTGTCTCTGGTGAAGCCTCTCACCACCCCTGCACCTCTGGCTTGTACCCCAGTTCTGTATGCATAAATAAATCTTAAAAAAAAAAAAAGAAGAAGAAGAAGAAGAATCCCCACCTTCCCCCATGTGCCATCCACGCCTCTTGTTACCAGGCTTCCAGCATCACTGCTGTCCCTACTCATGTCTCAGGATGCTCACAGCACCTCTCTCATGGGGCTCCCTGCTTCCTGTTGTTCTCCAAGCCAGCCCGGCTCCAAACTGAGGTTACAGAATCAGTCTCTAACGACAGATTGGGAGCCATCCCACTAGGGGACCCTCCTGGATTCCTACTACCTACTGAGTGAAGGGCATCCTTCTGACCTCCCCTTCTTTTTACCTGACCCCAGACACGCTCCATGCTGTCACCCAACATGACCACATTCCCACCTTTGTGAGAGGATCACTCTGCTGGAGCCTGTGCCTCCCACCCGACCTGTAACATTCTTCTTCCACCCCTCTTCCATTATTGTCTTAAACTTATTATCATTTTAAAATTTTCTTCCCCGTTGGGTATTAACTTCTATATAGTCTGTTTGGTTCTGATATGTATGCTCCTTTTTTGATTTTACTAGATAGAGTCAAATAACTAAGTATTGAACTGTTTTTGATCTGCAAAAAATATGGCCCTATCAATCAAGCATTCAGCCTAATCCTCTCAGCGGTACACAATAGGCCTTTTCAGAGAGTCCCAGGGTCTCTTCCTCTTTGCCACCCTGTGAGTGCCTGTCACCCTATGCCCTGATGAATGCTACCATGAATTCAAAGTGATGCTTGGTGTTTTTTCACTCTTCTGTTTTTGAATATTGAGGCTTGGAAACATTTTACTTAAAAGGAATTGTTGAAAACTTTGTTTTACAGAATAACTGTATTTCAGAAGAAGAAAGAGATGCCTATGAAGAACTGCTGACACAAACAGAGATCCAAGAAAATATCAGTGCAGTTAACAGTAAGTAGTGGGTCAGATGAAGGAAAGGGCGTCTCCGTAAGATACACATTCTTCTGGTTAGGATCCTTGACAAATTCTCAACGTGTCAGCTGTGATGAAAACATCCACTGTGTGTCAGTGTTCTTCCTTATGGTGCATCATCTGACTGCAAGGAGCTTTTTGGTGATCTTGCCTCTAGTCAGTTCCGAATATCTCAGAGTATGTTCCTATTCATCAAAGTCATGACACATTCTTTAAGCCTGTGCCTTACTGGGCTAGTATTGAAATTATTTAGTAAAAGAATATAACTTTAAGACTGTTCCTTATTCATGGTCATGCAATGATGTGTTCTTGGTACTGTGAAAAACTACATGGACAGCTTTGCTCTTTATTAATGCCTGGTCATTAGCCTGTAGTTTTGCAGGAATTGATCTTTTAAGGCTTGTGTAGCTCTAGTGGACATGGATGAGACTGAAAAGGCCAATAGATTGACAGGGTTGCAGGTTTGAATTCATGTGCCCGAATCTCCATGGAGTTTGCACCATTCATTTCCTCTTGATACCAGTTCAGTGTGTGTCTATAAAGGATAGAAACTTGGGTAATTAGAACAGCATATGTAAGTGTAGATAGATTAATCCCCTTAGTCTATTTTTCCCCTTATCTACTAAAGTTTACTTTTATTTGAGGCAGTAAGGAATTCTATCTGATACTCATTCCTCTAGATCAGTACACACACACACACACACACACACACACACACACACACACTGCCAAGAACTCTTGGGTAACTTTTCCTTCAAGAGAACACCTTAACATTTTAGTTAGTGTGTTCTTGTTCTTTTGTTCTTACTAAATTTTAGCATGTTGTTCATGATACATGAAGCACAATCTAAATTTTCTGTTTTATTTGAAAACTAAGAATTTCATTACACCTCAAAGAAAACCTTTAGTTTTGAAATGTTTATAACCACAGATTTCTTTTTCATGTTAAATAAATGCTTTATATAAGTATTTGAGTATTATACTCAGTGACCTAATTTTCCTGTCCCAAATTTGATGACAAATTGTAATTTTCCCCCATTTTAAAATGAAATGGATGAGGTGATTTGTACTAATTCATAGCTAGCTGAAATTGTGAAGGTGCAATGTTGGATGGCTGTAAATATGGATTCCATGATTATTCTGAAGCTTATCTCTCCCCACTTGAAAATTTATAATCTAGTAGAACTAGAACTGGTCTTGAAAAAAAAAAAACACCTCTAAAGCCTGCTTGTTAATGATATATGAGACAGTTGTATACTTAGACTATATAAGTATAGCTACTGGATAAGCTTTTCCCTGACCATATAGGTTGTTACAGTAAAATGTTAAGCTACACATTCATAGCAGTCTGAGTAATGACATAAAAGACAGCCTAAATAGTAATGACAGTGGGTCTGTTGTCAGAGTCTTCTGCTTTGTTGGAATTTCAGTCATTTAACTTTAATGGGGTTTGACACCTGTGTTCCATTCAATATATGATATACCTATAAAAATCAGAACTGGAAATTTTGTTAAATGTTAGTGTCAAGAATAGCTGACCTTACTTTATTTTTTCTTTCAGTGGATCATTAAGAGTGGTTTTAATGATACAGTTTTCTGATAACATTTACCATGTTGCTATACAGACTAATTTAATAGAGTTTTCAAGGTGAAAGAAAATCCTATCCAAAATAATCAGACACACCTAAAAGACCTTGGAACTTTAAAAGAATAGCAAACACCATACACAACCACCTACCTTCCTTTCTGGAATTCTTCCATTTGTCATATTAATTCTAAGAATAGAAAAAGGTGTTTGGGTTCTTAGGGTACTGTAGAAGAGGTGTAAGTTTTCTGGGGGTGTGATACGAAAGATTGCATTGACAGTAAGTATTCCTTGTATTGTATGACGTCTCTTAGTGGAAAAGTTATTGAAGGTAGCTCCCTGTAAATAAGTATAGAAGGGCCCTCCCTGGTGGTGCAGCGGGTTAAAGCACAGCACTGAGAATCTAACGCCGCTTCCACATGAGTTTGATTCCCGCCTGCCCCGGAGGTGACCACATGGTGTGGCAAACCTCTCCTGACCCACCCGCTGCTTCCCACAGCAGTGTGCTTCGTTGGTCTGCCTGTTCTGCTCCCCGCTCTGTCCCTGGTGAATCCTCTCACCCTCCACATCTCTGGCCTGTACCCCAGTTCTGTATGCACAAATAAATAAATCTTTAAAAAAAAATAAGTATAGAAGATAGTCAGCCCTAGAATAATCTTAGCTGAAATCTAGTCATGTGTTAGAACAGAGTATCTCTTGAAAAGCTCTAGAAAACTATAGGTCTCCATTATTTCTGCTCTCCAGAAGCTGCCTTTTCAGGGCAAAACCCTGCTGATTCTACCTCATTTGTTATTGCCTGGTGGCAGAGTTCATCAGTCATTCTTCCATTTGGTTAGCAATTCCATTTCTTCCTTTAAATATCCACTGTCCCAGCACCCTTAATTTGGTCACTAAAATCCAGGGCTTTATAATGGCACCATTGCTACTGGTGGAGAGGTCACAGACTCAGAGGCTGGATAAAATAATGGTTTGAATGCACTTTGTAAACAAAGGCATTCCTGTAGTCAGGGTTTTGTTGTTGTCTTTAAATAATATTAGCCTAGACGAGTCATAGGAATTTTGACTACAATGTATTTTTTCACATATATGAAGTTATTTTTCCTGAAGCATAACATTTCATTTCATAGAATAGAAGCAACTTCAGCATCACCATCCAGCAGCAGTGTGTCCACCCCTGTGGGTCTCCAGTGCTGATTCGGGGTGGGGGGGGGGAGGGTGCTGCAGCAGCAGACACAATTGGCTGCTCCCCCTTGGGGAGGCAACCCGAGCACATGAGCATTTAAAGAGTGATGCCTACAGATCAGTGTGGCTCAGAGTTAAATGCCGTGGGGACTCCCATGGCATGTGAAGTCCTCAGAGACCATAGCAATGTGTAGGGTATTTGGAAGAGGTGGGACCAGGCTGGTCCTGTAAAGAAGGATTTCGTAGGGAAGTGAGGCCAGCCTGGAATGATTTACCTCACCGTGAGGTTCTTTTAGGGACCAAGTCCAAGAGTTGGGCTGACTTTTAATTACTGAGCTTTCATATGTCCAAGCCTTTGTCTACCCTGCAGTGCAACTTTTCAGAATTAATGGGAAGTGACTACCTGCATTCTAATTCTTGGCGAGATGGGCTGGTTGGGTCAGGAAGCAGTGTTTGGAAAACAGACAGACTGACAGAATGTGAACCCCCCACCCCAGGGCTGGCTGCGGTGGACCACATCAACGCTGTCCTTCAGGAAGGGGACCCCGAGGGCACACTGCTTGCGCTGAGCAAACCCGAGGCTCAGCTGCCGGTGGTGTATCCCTTTGCTGCCACCATGTATCACCATGAACTTGCCAACCTTCAGAAACAGAACGCCATGGTAAGTCAGAGATGCTAATACTGAGTCCAACAAATGAGCAAGCCTGTCCAAGACGGATGAAGGGGTGTGGCATCTTTAACTTGTACTGATCTCTGGTCTCTGTGAAATCACCATGCCAGTTCTGTGGCCACCATCTTCTTTTAACTTCTGCTTCTCACCTACATAAAGAATCTAAGAGCCTAGTTAAAGAGATGCTGATAGGACTTTACACAAATGTATGTTATAAACAGGTTATTCTTATTCTCTGTGATTTTTTTTTCAAGAACTTTGGGTAATTTTTTAAGTATGCTACAATAGGTTTAAAATAGGTAATGTTTTTGCTATGGAAAAATAAGCTCTGAATCTGCATTTCTAGAAATCTACAACTAAAAACATCATTGTGGCTTTGACTTTTGTAAATTGATGCTCCTCAATATACTAATTGCATTAAGCAGTAATATTCATATAAGGTGATTAAATTGCAGTATGGTAACTAAGTTACAGTAATTAGGAGACTTATACTAGTGCAGGATTAAGCCAAACAATGGAACAGAAAGAAAAATACTGGACACAGAGCCAAGAATGTAATAGACGAGGGAGCTAGTGTTTCAGAAAGCTTCAGGAAGGAATGAAATCCTTATTTTACTATTTGGTATAGAAAACAAGGCTTCTCTACACATATCAGAAAATGTCCATTTAAATATTAAGCAGAAAAATATTTAAAAATTAACAGTCGGAGGAATCTTAATTCCTTAGGCATTAGATCTTAAAAATCAAAAGCAGGCCCTCCCTAGTGGCACAGTGGGTTAAAGCACAGCACTAAGAAGCTAAAGCCACTTCCGCATGAGTTCAATCCCCGCCTGCCCCGGAGGTGACCACATGGGGTGGCAGACCTCTCCTGACCCGCCTGCTGCTCCCCTCAGTAGTATACGTTATCAATATGCCTGTTCTGTTCCCCGCTCTGTCTCTGGTGAATCCTCTCACCACCCCTGCATCTGGCCTGTACCCCAGTTCTGTATGCACAAATAAAATAAATCTTAAAAAAAAATCAGAAGCTGTACTGGTCCACCAATAAAAAAAAGGGGGGGGGGAGACAGGAAAAGGCCAAAAATGTGAGCAGGCATATCACAAAAAAAGGAATACAAAAATGACCAAAAATAAATAAATACATGTAAATTAAAATGAAATACAGTTATTTGTAGAGGTCAGGTTGGTAAAGAGTTGAAAAATTTAACCTTGTGGGGGTAAGAATTTGGGGCAGCAAGCTTCTCCCACAGAGCTAATGGACGTGCAAATGATGAGACCTTTCTGGAGCGCGATCTTACTCATGCTTTTAGGACACAAGCTAACAAATGTGAGTCCAGAAGTTTTGGCCTCAAGGATGATTCAAAGAATTGTCTACAATATTGAGAAACAGGAAACAAACCACATGTTTAACAACAGATTGCTTAGTTCATGGTAATTCCACATGTCCAAAATAATATGTCACCAGCAAAATGACAGTGTAAAGAGTAAATATCAGAAAATATGTGCACACTAAGAGTGGGAAAATTGAGTTTGAGATGTAGAGTAGAGCATTATCTTGCTTTTGGGGAATAAGGATGGGGGAGTCTGTGTTTAAAAAAAAAAAAATTCTGTAAATATGTGCATGAATTAAAAATGAAAGGATATGCACTAAAGGGCCAGGTGTTAGGATTTATTATCTTAGTCTTGTTTCTCAAGACTTTGTAAATTTGATAAATATAAATATACTGGTTTTGGTTAACAACAACAAAAAAGATTATTTTCTTAGACTGTACTAGCTTTTCTCATGAATATCTTCCTACTTCTCTAGCTTTGAAACCCAAGACTATTTCCTCTTGTACAGTACTCTCCCCAAAGGCCTAGAGGAGATGAATTTCAAATTATTCCATTCTTCTCTTTACAATATAATACCTTTCTTATATGTTAAACTTGGAGTTAATGGAATATATTTAGGAAAAAATCACTTGCTCTCTATCAGAAACCCCCATTAGCTTTGGAAAGTAAAATTATTCTTTGTTACTATGCAATCTGTTGGCTGTAAGATTTCTACAGTGATCCAAAAACGCTATAATGATACATTTTAGCTGTGAATATTATGGTATATAAATTAAATAAATATGTCCTAATGGAAAGATATATATCAGTTTTGGGTATTTTTTTGGAATTAGTTTTCATGCTCCCTTTATGTTCCTTCAGTATAATTAAAGAAATATCCTTTTTTGAATTGGATCAGTTCAATGTAAAATGGTTAAATGAAAGAGAGCATTTAAAGGAAAGTAATCTGAAGCCTAAGATGTGTTTTTTTTTTTTTTAAAAGCCAAATCCAGATTTATAAATCAAGTAAGTCTGGAGATCCTTACTTTACCAAAAGATTTAATGCACATTTCTGTAAATATCTAGGCCTTATAGTACATTTCAAACTCTCTACTGAGTTATAAAACAAATATGACTTAGGTGAATGCTTTCGGAATCAGAATCAATATTCTCGGTTTAAAGATGTTTTCTAGCACTGTAACTTTTAGGTGAAATTCTCCCCCTTTCCTTTAATTCAAACTGAAAATCATTAGCCATGGAAAAGTCTTATCCACACACTGTTGGAAGCTGCAACATTGCCTAATACTTGGCTTAATTATTTGAGAAGGGTGAGACTGTAAAGAGCCATTATATCCGGACATAGGAGTCAGCTATAACAATGAAGATGCTTATGAATCAAAGTTAATAGTATAATTAGCTCTGTTCCCACATGACCAGCTAAGGAAAACCTAGGAGCTTTTTACCTGTTCTTTAAAACCAAAGAAAATAAATAGCTATTTAACCCTCCTTCTCCTAGATTCTCAAAAAATTTGACTTTAAATTTTTTGTATTGTGACCCCTGAGCCCATCACATACAGGAGGTATGTGGTTTGGGGAACTTATTGCTATACACTTCCCAACAGAACTACCTGGCTCACGAGGAGCTCACGATTGCCGTGGAGATGTTATCTGCCGTTGCCTTACTAAACCAGGCCCTGGAAAGCAATGATCTCGTGTCTGTGCAAAATCGACTCCGAAGTCCAGCAATAGGCTTCAACAATCTGGACGAGACATATGTGGAACGGTAAGGGACATTTTCCAAACTTTACTCCAATGGAGAAATGTGTATTTGGCAGATATCACCAATTAATGACTTGTCCCTTACTGAAGAAGGCCATGTGTGGGGTTCATTTTCCAGAACTGTAAGAGTCCTCCTAATTTAGAGTCATTCATTAAATAGTAGGCCCTTTTAGGGGCAACAAAAAGCACCTTAAAAAGACTGTGGCGGGCCCTCTCTGGTGGTGCAGTGGGTTAAAGCACTGCACTAAGAAGCTTAAGCCACTTCCACATGAGTTCGATTCCCACCTGCCCCAGAGGTGATCCACATGGCGTGGCAAACCTCTCCTGGCCTGTCCGCTGCTCCCCTCAGCAGTGTATTTCGTCGATCTGCCTGTTCTGCTCCACTCTCTGTCTCTGGTGAATCCTCTCACCCTCTGCATTCTCTGGCCTGTACCCCAGCTCTATATGAATAAATAAATAAATCTTAAATAAAAAAAAAGATTTATAAAAAAAAAAAGACTGTGGCAATTACTGATCGACTTTGTCACTAGCAAAGATTAGTTGATAAGGTAAACATGAAGTAACTGTTAAAAACATGCCTTCCCTTGGGCTTCTTTTGGAGATGACAGAAAACTGAAGTGTTGAAGTAACTTTATTATTCATCCAATATAGTTTTTTTTGGGGGGGTCCCAAGTTCTATCATTATTATTAAACCAAATCCTGAAATTACAGTGGTTCATGGCAATGGATGTAACAACTCTAGTAGCTTTCATTTCATGTTCCTCAAAGATGCTGCTAGAGCATTCTGATGGTATTATAAAGTGTGATGGCAGATCTAGGAATAAAATTAAGTGGCCAGAATAAGGAGCCACGTTAGAGATTTTTATAAGCCAAACATCAAGTTGGGAGCAGTGATTTTCTATCCTGGTTGCTTGTGACCACTAGAGGGAGGCCTCTCTGCATAGATCTTCAGATCTCAGCTGAATGTTTTTCAGGTCCTTATTCCCAAAGTGTTTGAATGAGTAAATTGGGTAATTCACTTGAGTCGTGTATTTGTACAGTAAAAATAAAAAGATCTGGCCCTCCCTGGTGGCGCAACGGATTAGGAAGCAGCACTGCAGGCTAGCCACAGCCGCCTAAGTGTGAGTTCAATCCCCAGCCCCCAGGTGAACCACAATGGTGCGGCAGACCTCTCCTGACCCCCCGCTGCTCCCTCAGCACTGTACTTCATCAATCTGCCTTTTCTGCTCCCCACTCCGTCTTTGGTCACCACCCCTGCACCTCTAGCCTGTACCCCGGTTCTATATGTATAAATAAGTAAATAGTTTAAAATAAATAAAAATTTTAAAAGATCTCTCATTTAAAAAAAAAAAAAGTTTTTGACCATAGAGATAGTGGCTAGGACAGTGGATTTTCCTTGATTTTTGTGTTCTTACAGAAATGGGTATTCTTATTCCATTTAAATTTTCCCACCTGTATCACACATCTCCTCAGCATATTTCTCCAAGGTCATTTATTTCAACTAATGGCACCAAGCTCTTCTCCAGACTTAGAGATATTAGGTCCAACTGGAGCTGTCTGTCCTCTATCAGACACCTTGTTCTGTTCATCCTCTTGCTGTCAGCTGCCAGTCTGTGTGCATTATACTTCTCCAGAATGTTTGTTTTTCCCAGCATCTGCCTTATTTAGACTCTACTTCTCAATGCTGCTTCTGTAATAGCCTCCCTATTGGTCTTCCTGTGCCTTTCCTGTCCTCGTTCATTTTTTTTTCTAATTCTCAAAAGATTTATTTATTTATGCATACAGAACTGGGGTACAGGCCAGAGGTGCAGGAGCCGTGAGAGGATACACCAGAGACAGAGTGGGGAGCAGAACAGGCAGAGTGATGAAGCGCATTGCTGAGGGGAGTGAGACAGAAGTGGTCTTCCGCGCCATGTGGGTCACTTCCGGGGCGGG